TCTTATTCTACAGTAGCGCACTGCTGCGCTGAATTTAAACGAGGCAGAACCGCCTGTAGCGCCGACACTTGCTCCAGGCGGTCAACGCTGCTACGCAAGAAAACTTTAAAATTTTGAAGAAATTGTTAAAGTAGATTGACGTGTGTCATCCGTTATTTAGCTGAGATTTTAAAGCTTTCTTTTGGAATAATTCAGTTTATTTTAACTCATACCTTAAAATTTAAAACGGTGGTCGCGCTCTGCGTGTCTCGAATGTGAGCAGACACCAAAAAGAAAGCAATAGTTGGCATTTCAAACATACGCTGTTATTATTTATATTTAGCAATAACCGAAGAAGAATCAGATTCTTTTTGCGAATGTTTCATAACCGTAAATGAAACGTGGATGCATCATTTTGACCAGAAGATGAAATACAAAAGCAAGGTGTGGAAAAGACCATCTTCCCAGACAGCTAAAAAGATTCGAGGTATCTGCGTCCGCTGGAAAAATAATAGCATATAATAATAATCGAATATTTAAGTAAAATAGAGACAATAATCGGAAATCATTAGGCATCATTAATAGGCGAAAAACTAAACAAAAACCGTCGAGAAAGATTGCTTTTGGTGTGTTTTTGATCGTGATGTTGCAGGCCATCACAACTGCTGGATTTCAGTTGATGCAGCATAAAACATATTCTCCGAATCAGGCTCCGAGTGATTTTAACTTTTCTACTCAGCCGAAATAGCACTTGCTTGGTATAAAATTAGTCGGCGATGATAAGGTGATAGGTGTTTAAGAGGCCTTTTTCGAGTTCCTAGATCGAGCTTTTTTCATGGGAATTTACCTAATTTCAAAACACTACTCAAGGTGTTCTAGCTTGAAAGGCGATTAAGTTGAAAAATAAATACAATTAACATACACTTATCCTAGAGTTTCATCAGGTTTCCAAAAACTTATTGATCAAGTCAAGTCAAGTCATCTAGTATTATTCCGTGAGACAATATATTTAACATGGCAGATCAATGCTGCAGCTATTTATTATGGTTGTAGCAAGGATGGGTTGACTCAATAAGGGAAGGACCACGTTCCCATAGTATATGTATGGGGTAAAATAGTAACTTAATGTTGTTTATTATGGTAAGTGTAGATAAAACTAAACAGATGTAAGTTGTTTAAATAAAATGTAAATAACATGACAGTTTAAGTGCTCAAAACATCACATATGTGTGCATACTACGAATTACTACGGGCTACGAGAAAACGCCGCTATGCGCTACGAACTACGCCTTAATAAATCCCCCGAATCTTAATATTTGCTAAAAAAGGTAAAATTAAAAAAAAAGATTTTTTAAAAAAACAAGTTTTTATTACTTGTTATTAAAATAACAAACAAGTTAAAAATAATTTAATTCTGATAAGAAATATAAAATTTTATGGCTACAATACACATTTTTACACTACTCCGGAGGCGTGGAGCAGAAGTGCGGTGGTCTTGTTCTTTAAGAAAGGCGACAACACTCTCTTGAAGAACTACAGACCGATTTCCCTTCTGAGCCGCGTCTACGTGCTGTTTTCGAGAGTCATTACGAATCGTCTCGCACGCAGACTCGACGACTTCCAGCCTCCCGAACAAGCCGGTTTCCGAAAAGGCTTCAGTACCATAGACCACATACATACCCTGCGGCAGATTGTACAGAAGACCGAAGAGTACAATGTGCCACTTTGCCTGGCGTATGTGGACTATGAGAAAGCCTTTGATTCCGTTGAAATTTGGGCGGTGCTACAGTCCCTTCAGCGGTGCCAAGTTGACTATCGGTATATCGAAGTGCTGAAGTGTTTGTACAGTAGGGCTACGATGGCTATCCGAGTACAGAACCAGAGTACAAAACCTATCCAACTGTAGAGAGATGTAAGACAGGGTGACGTTATTTCCCCGAAACTCTTCACCGCTGGAATGCAGCATTGGAAGACGTTTTCAAGCTACTGGACTGGAAAGGATACGGTATTAACATCAATGGCGAGTACATCACTCACCTTCGATTTGCCGACGATATAGTCCTTATGGCAGAATCGCTGGAGGACCTTAGCACTATGCTCAATGACCTCAATGGTGTCTCCCAACGGATAGGTCTTAAGATGAACATGGACAAGACAAAGATCATGTTTAATGTCTATGCCTCACCTATGCCGGTAGTTGTTGGGAGCACTATGCTCGAAGTTGTTGACGAGTACGTTTACCTGGGACAAATAGTCCGACTAGGTAAGTCCAACTTCGACCGAGAGGTCAATCGACGGATTCAACTCGGCTGGGCAGCGTTCGGGAAATTACGACATATCTTCTCGTCAGGTATACCTCAATCTCTGAAAACTAAAGTGTACAACCAGTGCGTGTTGCCAGTGATGACTTACGGATCAGAGACGTGGTCCTTCACTGCTGGCCGTATGAGGACGCTCAAGGTCGCTCAGCGAGCTATGGAGAGGGCTATGCTCGGAGTTTCTCTGCGTGATAGACTCAGAAATGAGGATATCCGCAGTAAAACCAGAGTGACCGACATAACCCAACGGATTAGTAAGCTGAAGTGGCAATGGGCCGGCCATATAGCTCGAAGAACCGATAACCGATGGGGAAGAAAGGTTCTCGAGTGACAGCCTGGTACCGGTAGGCGTAGTGTAGGGCGAACCCCCCACTAGATGGAGTGACGACCTGGTAAGACATGCAGGAAGTCGATGGATGCAGGTGGCTCAGGACCGTGCTTTGTGGCATTACTTGGGGGAGGCCTATGTTCAGCAGTGGACTTGTGAAGGGCTGTAATGATGATGATGATGATGAATACACATTTTTTTAAATAAAAGCGTGCTACATTTTGACGGCAAGATATAAAGAAGGTGTAAGGCGCTTTTTATTTAAAAAATGCGATATAATATCCTATAAAAGGTATAATATTTCTTATCAGAATTATATTATTTTTAACTTTTTAATTCTTTATATTTATAGGTAATAAAAGCTTGTTTAAAAATAATATTTCTTTTGAAAAAAAAACACCTTATTGTATTGAAATGGGGAGAAGCCCTTAACGTATGTGTTATCAAGAGGTATACAGTAGCCAGGTACTTTACCCATCATGTATTATAACGTTAATCATGTCAACTGACAGCAAAATTTGCTTGATATTTCTTTTATAAAAATAAACGATTTCCCATTTGCACCCTCTTATACGCTGCAGGCATATTTGTCTTGCAGGAAGTAAGCCTGTGACATTCGGTGGGCAAATAATACTTCAATTAAAACTTTTTATCATGAAATAAAGGATCTAAATCATGTACTCTGAATTCACCAAAGCAGATTCTGACGTTACCGCGTAAACGATAATCGCTTGAGTCATATCGTAGCTTAATGAAAAACTTAAAGACTTATTTTTCTATTATTCGATAAAAGGCATTCATTAACATAGTCGCCTATTTAAAAGTTAACTGCTGGCTGCTGGACCTCCACTAAAGATTGTAATATAAGAAGAACGAATATTTGCCACGCATTAAATGCGAGTTGGCAACCGCAGGTTTTTATTTATTTTCAGTTTTTATCAGAAAGCTACTGTTGCTCATATTAATTATATCGTTTAGTGGATATTCTTACACCACGGTTACAAGTAAGGTTATGGTTAAGGAAAATATATTGGAAACGTTCTTTTAAATATCAATATCAATCTTCTTTTTTAGTTTAAAAAGTGTTATCATTCTGAAACTTTTATACTGAACATTAATTACCATTTTCACGTGGTAGAGCCATGCTGCAGTTATATTAGTAGTATAGTTGTAGCACAAACGGGTCGGCTCGACCTGGGAAGGACCACGCTCTCACAGAATACCAGCGTCAAATAGTAGCTTAATGCTGCTGTGTTTTGTACGGTGAGTGTAGAGAACCGGAGACTCATTTTACTGCAAAGGAGGCATTCTACCTAAGTCCTCACGGATGACAACGCATCTACATTTTGATTCGTAATCGAGGATAGACGTAGATGTCTATGGGCCACAGCAACCACTTACCATCAGGTGGACTGTGTGCACGTTTGTCATCCTATCCTATAAAAACCCATAATGTCATTATTTTTTATATAAATAAGGTAACAAAACGTGCACACAGTGCGTTTGCACTAACTACGCCAATATATTATATTTTCATTTAATTTCATCCTTCTATATATATATATATTATAGCTTACACTTTATAATCATTCGTATTGTCATTGATAATAAGCAATTCAGCTTTCTTAAAAACTATTGTATAATTTATTTATTGTTCTTATTTTTATTAGGGATGAAGTTATTTTGTATCACGGTTCATAATCCGTTCATATGACGTCCTTAGCGATTTCTAAGAATTATAGAAAATATATGTTTCTATTTATTTGGCTTATTTTCAAAGAGTGCATTGCTATTTTACTTTATTTGCTACTGTATCTACTTATAAAATAAGTATGTAAGTACTCCTAACACCTACACCATCTAATGGTGATGTAAAACAATTCACTACCCCGTATCATCCCGTGGTCGTACGAGGCGACAGAGGGAAATGAATCAGGAGTGGCAGCAGCGTCTTCCTGATAAAAGTTGAATAAAAATTAATAACTGCGCTTGGCAATCGTGACAAGTATGGCACAAATCCAAAAAATAAAAATTAATAACTGCGCTTGGCAATCGTGACAAGTATGGCACATATCCAAAAATAAAAATTAATAACTGCGCTTGGCAATCGTGACAAGTATGGCACATATCCAAAAATACCCTAAAAATACCTATGAGGCAATCTTTGAGTAAGGCCTTTATTCTTGTTTTTTTTAAAAACGCTAATTGGAAAATTGTAATTATAAATGTTTATCTGTTATGTTTTATTTTGGATTAAATTGAGAATGAATTAAAAGTATATCATAATAATATCACTGCTTGTTTTCTATTCTGGATATATTATTACACATATTATTAAGAAAACATTATTTACAGTACCGGTTTACTTTTATATATTATATTGTTATATTTCGAGAGCTGTAAGGTTCATCACGACATTTTACACAATATGCGGTAGGTAGATGATTATAAACAACATTACCTAATAACAATATCTTAGTAAATAACTCTAACACCAGCTGGTTTTGCTGCGATCTGTTACTCGATTCAATTTTGAAGTCATACTGAACACATAATAATATTTTAGGACAATATTATCGTAAAACAGTGTTATAAACTCTCCCAGGAGACATCAATACTGAAACCCAATTAGTATACGTCGGAAGGGTATCAACGATCAGTTGGGTATTTAAATTTGATATGGAAACCGTTGGGCGGGTTGCGCTTGTGAATCGATCGGATTGTCCTACTAATGACACCTCTCCGACGTCGGCAAACGTTCACACGAATATTCGGGATTGGGAAAAAGTTATTGAGGGCTATTTTCCACATACTTTTCATGTCTGTATCAAACGCTAAGCGTCAAAAGGAAAGATTTTTGACGTAATACGAGTATGTACTAGATAGCGATAGGTGTACGTCCGCTCTACATCTGCATATAAACATGTGGAAACACCACCGATAATAAACATAAGAATAATAAAGTTAATACACACTTAAGGATTTATAATAATAATGTCCTCCAGACCTATGATTACGACGACCAATCTCAACGGAGACTAGTCATCGGCACAGGATAATCCTGATTACAGTGTCCAAGTGTATGCGCAAGTACAGGTGCACTCTCTATTCCCTTACTCTCATGATCCAATTAGACGGTAAACGAACATAACCGGAGAGAGATCAGGCTCAGGCCAACGCATTTACGTGTTTTCCGAGGCACGGGGGTAAGATACCGCCAACTTACTGACTGCGGGCAGCTACTGAGAATTTCTTAATGGAAAACCTCAATAACTGATATTTTTGACCGAACCTGAGATTCGAACACGGGATCTCATGATCAGCAGTCGCACTACTACAAACTCTATACCAGTCAGTTACTTTGTAAGAGATTACAACGCGATATTGACTGAGTGGTAGCGTGATGTTAAGATAATAATTTGCATTTTTATACATCCAAGTGCGTAACTTTTTTCTCGCGCACGCATTCCAGTGCTCTTTAGGTATGCGCTAGATGGAATAGCTATGGTACGAGTGAACGAGGTTAAGGATATGGGTGTTCGTTTCACCTTAGGATTAAACTTTCAAAATCATATAGCTGACATCTGCAAGAAAGCGTATCGCAACTTGGGTATTATACTGCGCGGGGATCGTTTTTTCAATAACTTTATAGCCATTATAGCATTGTATAACACCTTAGTTAGGAGCCAGCTTAAGTGCAACGCGGTTATATGGGCTCCACATGAAACTAAGTATTGTCTTATGCTGGAGAGCTGTATTTCAGGCAGTATGTTGTATACCCTCTTTACCCACTTAAATATCTGACCGTATTCGTTTTAGGAATTGTGGGATATAAAGAACGCCGTGTTTGGCGAGACCTCGCACTGGTGTCGTATATTATCCAATTAATAAGAGTAAAGATATAAAGTCCTTATTTATTGAAGGATATATATTTGAATGTCCCAGAGCAATACGTATGGCGAAGGCGGCGGTCACGGCGGCTGTCGCGCGCCGCACCAACCTGTTGAGGTAAGCGCCATGCATTCGCACCACCAGACTTCTTAACCTTATCCATGAGGAAGTATAAATATTCCCATGTTCTGTGAGTGAGTTTACAGAGGCTGCATTATTTATAATATATTATAATAATTAAAATATTTACTAAAATGCTCCCACAACCACTTATCATTATTTTATTTTTAATACTGAATAAGCTTTAAAGGTCTTTCCGATCTCACTCAGCTGCTCGGTTGTCTACAACGTAAAAAATTACCCCCGTTAACGTTTCAACATTATGCGCCAACACGTACCGGTAAAGCTTTGTAATGAATGGCCATGCAGTTACGTACATGCTGTTTGCGAAAATTGTCTTCATCACAGTACTCTTATATGATGATTATTATGAATGCTAATAATCACCTGTCAGTATTATGACATGTTTTCGAAAATATCAGTTACAAAGTAAATAATTTAGTGTTAGATAAGGACCGTGTCGCGGCAGTGTAAGGATATCCACTACCCTTTATCGTACCGTGGATGTCTACAGAGATGAACAAATCAGGAGCTGGGCAGCAGCGTCTTCCTGATAACGATTTAAAATGATAATGTGAATTAAAGCTTATGACTTCTATTAAATTTAAAAAAATATCTCTGTGTAGTGATGGCGTAAGAGAATTCAAATTCAAATTCAAATTCATTTTATTCATTTGCGATCTATGGGTTACAATAGGTCTTAATAATTTAACAAAATACAGCCATATTCTACCTTTCGGTATGCAAACTACTTAAATATTAGATTTTATTTATAATTAAAATTAAATGGTAAATGCCGATAATTACATTAACATAATATAACCCTATTTGTATATTTGCGCTACTAACATAATAATAATTCACAAAATAATGATAAAATACATGTAATAATTAAAATTGTAATGTCCAAGTAATAATGTCAAAACGAGTAGGTATAAATTGTCTCAAAATTAATAACATAGATAACGTTTCGTTCAATAAATTTGATAGTTAAAATTTAAAAATTGTCATATAGATAACCGTCAATATTATAATACGCTTTTATGGTTAAAAATGTGTTTAGTTGTTTCTTAAAAATGTGAAAGCTCTTAGAATCTCTTATATATTTAGGTAAATGGTTATACAGTCGAGGACCCATACAGAATACGCTTTTTTGAAACAAAACAGTCTTACTATTGGGATGGCTCAATTTATCTTTATGACGCTGGACATTTAGTTTTTTGTAAAAACTTAAGTTTTGACGTACAAATAAGACTACCTCATATATATATAGACATGGCATTGTTAATAATTTTAAATTAATGAAGTATGGCTTACAACTCTCACTTTGGTTAATTTTACAAATGGCTCGTAAGCATCTCTTTTGAGCTTTAAATACTGTTTCTTTGTCCGTACAATTACCCCAGAACATAATACCATATCTAAGTGTAAACATAACATAAGCATGATATGATGCCATTACGGCGGATGTGTCCACAACTTTTCCAAGCATATATAACGCATACGAAAAACGATTTAATTTCATACACACACTGCTCACATGAGACTGCCAGTTCAAATTGCAATCTACATTTATACCCAAAAATTTTATATTATCTATGGTATTGATTTTTTGTCCTAGATAATTGATATTTAAATTATTTATTTTATTACGTTTTTGATAGAATGTCATAAGTTTTGTTTTTTCTAAATTTATATTTAAATTATTTATGTTTAGCCAATTCATGATTTTCTCTAAAGCAAAGTGTATGAAGAATCCACTAGCCCCTATCACTCCGTGATTGTAGTAAGAGCAGAATGAACAGTAGATGGGTAGCAAGCAACTGCGTCTTCGTGATAACAACTCAAAACTAATAAAAACTGCGGTTGCCAACCCGCTTGCCAAGAGTGGCAACTATGAAAAATAGTTTAATTATTCGCCGTGTGTAGTCCGTCTAGGTAACTCCGTATTACCATTTGTGACGCCAGATGGCAGTGTCCTGGACTGAACCCTTCTTTTTTGAGGTTGGCTACCGGGGTACATGAACTGCAGTAGCTCCTAAACATTAGGTTGATTAAGTTTACTTGTCACTGAGGTGCTGATTTACCACGTTTTTGGAATTAAAGGAAACGATCAGTGAGCGAACATGACAGCTTATATACGTCCCACTGCTGAGCACAGGCCTCTTACTTCTGAAAGGGTTTTAGGGCAAGGAAGTGTCCGCCGCGCTGCTCCAATGCGTTTGGGCCGGACTTCACATATCTCCAAAATATTTTTTTTCTCAGACATGTGGTAAATCAGCACTTAAAATTGCAATTACTATTTCATTGGTGTCGGCGGAGCTACGAACCCGGGTTGTTCGCTGGGTTGTAGGCCGTACAAGCACTTGTCACGTGCGGGATTTGAACCCGCAGCCTGCAACTCTTTGCTAATCCTCTGCGCCGCGGAGCCACTTAAGGTGACTTAGTTATTTGACTTGCTGTAGTTATTTAAATTTTTAATCATATGATGTAACTCTTATTATTTTCCAAATTCTATAATATTTGGTAAGTGCCAGACACATTAAATAACAAGGTTTTCGAATTCGGAACAGGACCATGTGTATTTATATTAAGGTGTGCGCTGGCAAAGTGCCATATCTACTCAGATTTATGTGGCTTCAGTTCCTTAAGCGGTAAGAGCATTTTAAAAGGCACACTACGTTAGATGGCACTAGACTTGTATAATGGCGTTAAAAAAGTTGTCAGGCGCGTAGGCTTTCAATACAGCTCCTTTACTGTGCGAACGGTATGAGTTCAACTACTCTGATGCGTTGTTCAACGTTAAATTAGACAGTTCAAATAGATAGTTTTATAAAATTTAACAAGAAATAAAAAAAGATAATAGTAAAGTTCATTTTGGAATTCGTCCATTGATATTTTGTTAGTAATATTAACAAAAAAAAAACAAGATTTTACGCACAATTACATATTTGTGAGCAACGAAAATGGGTCGGTAACTAGGAACGAAAGCTAGAAAAATAAATAAAAAGATAATATGTTTCAATCACATTTTGCAACCTTGGTAATGGGAGAAGCAAACACAAAGTATGCTGAAATCTACGAAAATCATAATATAGTACTTTTAATATAAACAGACCTGTTTTTGTAAATAAAGATTACCTATGCATTTTTGTATATTTCGTATAATACAACATACTTTAATTCGTTTTACTTTTGTCTCGTAAAGAGTTTTTTTTATAAATTAGAATTTTTAGCATTATCATTTGGAGTCTTTAGCATTGATCTCACGAGTTTATTTTAAGGGAAAAATGGTAATGACGTAGAGACGCAACAGTATTATGCATCAGTATTCTCACTTCCCTTGCATTCACTAAATGTTTTGAATGATCTGAGCTTTGAGCCCTGTCTGCGTCGACAAATGAATTGGCCATAACGGAGCAAATATTGGTAATAGCTTATACACATTGCCATAGGCAAAAAGCCAAACGCTCTACACTCCACAGTTATAATACTTAAAAAAACCCAAGCAGTAAATTAAGATACAACAGCAATGCGGTAAAGATGTTACCTACATTGAGAGTGCTTTCAAAGACTCTTGAAGTAAATTTTTTGGTCATTTAGTTTATTTTTCTTCCCATTACGGCACAAAAGCTGGCAGCTTCATAAGTAAGGCGACAGATTCATAGCAAATTCGTAAGGTTTTTTTTTCTTCAAAAAGTATTAAATTAAAGCAAAACTTTACTGGTGAGGAAATCAGTATTTTTATTTAGGATAAACCTATAAGAAATATTATGATAATTCATTTTCTCATTCATTCATTCTTCATTCATTTTCTTGCCGATGACCTGAAAGTCAATGTAGATATTGAGAGGGAACGCAGGGCTCTAGCGGTCAGGAGTAACATGCTGGCCCGTAGATTTGCTCGATGTACGGACCTAGTTAAAATTACCCTATTTAAGGCATACTGCCTGAGTCTGTACACGAGCAATCTATGGATGAATTACACTAAAAGGTCGCTGGATGCCCCGCGTGTTCAATATAATAATGCTTTCAGAATGTTGTTGGGACTGCCCGGATACTGTAGTGCGTCGGAGATGTTTGCGCAAGCTCGCACGGACGGCTTTCATGCGATAATACGTAAGAAAACTGCTTCGCTGCTTAGAAGGGTGAGAGACAGTCACAACAGCATTTTGAAAACAGTAGCGGACGACTATAATTCTACGATTTTGAAAAAAGTTTATCCATACTTTAATGTTTACTAACACTAGTTTATAAGTCAATTATTACTAACACTACTATGGATTAATTTTGGTCCGAAATAAAGAAATTATTATTATCGTGGGGTATCTATATAGTTTTCTCATCTAGTTGGGTGCTATAAATATATAATTATAAATGAAAATGAAAAGATAAATATACATAAATATCAATAACATAAAATAAATATAAAAGTACATAAATAAATAAAAGCCCAACCAGATGGAGGCCCCTCGGCAGGGGAGACCAAACGGCCGAGGGTTAGGGGGAAAGGGAAAGAAACCGGCGGACGATGCGGGCGGTATCGAGGAGCACCGCCTTCTGCATTTGAACCTGGAGGCGCCACGTAGTCCCAGCCGCCTCAGATGACCCGAGAGGCTGACTGGGATTAGCCCGTTTGCAGAGACGACTACAGGAATAATTTCGGTCGGCAGACCACCCCACATGTCGGTCACCTCGTGAGCCAGGTCCAGATATTTTGTTTGCTTGTCTGTTCCGGCTTCCACGAGGTTCTCGTCATACGGAATGGTAATGTCGACCAAAAATATCCTTGACTGTGCCCGGTCCATCAGCACAATATCAGGCTTATTCGCAAGAATAGTCCTGTCTGTGATGATGGCCCGGTCCCAATAGAGCCTGGCGCGATCATTTTCGAGCACAGCTTCCGGCAGGTACTTGTAATACGGCAATTTCCGATCCACAAGACCGTATTTCAGAGCGAGCTCCTGGTGTAGAATTCTGGCTACTAGGTTGTGCCTGTGCAAGTACTCAGAGTTAGAAAGCGCCGAACAACCGGAGATAACATGCCTAAGTGACTCACCGGGATGGCGACAAGCTCGACAGATGTCGACGGTGCCATCCTTTAGGATGTATCTCCGATAGTTGTTGGTCTTAATAACCTGATCCTGTATTGCACAGACAAAACCCTCGGTTTCCCCCGAAGAGATCACCAAAGCGTAGCCAGTGGAGGGAGGCTACTGTGTCTACGAAAGGCTCATGTAGAGCCTTGTAGAACCTCCCGTGGAGCTCCTTCTCCTTCCATACGGTCTCCCGGTCGGAAATGCTCTGCACTGCCGGGTCTTGCCATTGCTCGTTGGCTAAGGATAGAGGGGTAAGTCCTTTATCACAAGAAATGACGTCCTTATAGAATGGATCATCCGATCTCGCCAGGAAGTAATCACGGAGGCTGCACACTTCGCGATTATGCATGGTAAGCGCGCTCAAGAAGCCACGACCACCATGCTTCCGCGGCAAGTACAGCCTCATTACCGACGATCTCGGATGATGCATCCTATGGGACGTCATTGTAGTGCGGACTTTTCTATCCAGGGCGTTAAGTTCAGTCTGAGTCCACCTGAGTATGCCAAAGGTATACATGAGGACAGGCATGACCCAGCCGTTATATGCGTGTGCCTTATTCACACCGGACAAAAGGCTGTTAAGCACTTTGGTCAAGCGTGCAAAAAACACGTCGCAAACTGACTGTTTCATACCAGTCTCATCGATACCGATGTTTTGAGACATACCCAGATATCGGTATGTTTCAGCCTCGGAAAGGGTCCTTAAGTTGACGGGCATAGATAAGTCTACGCCCTCAGAGTTAGCAACCCTTCCCCTTTCAACATGGAGGACCGCACACTTATCCGTCCCCAGCTCCATTCCAATGGAATTGCTAAATTCACAAGTGATGTTTAGCAATTCCATAAGATGGGAGCGACTGGAGGCGAATAACTTGAGGTCATCCATATAGAAAAGGTGGGTCACTTTTATCCCTCCTTTCCGTAGCTGAAATCTCCTCCCGGAGCCATCCAGTAAGGTACTGAGAGGGTTCAGAGAGAGGCAGAACCAGATTGGATTCAGACAATCGCCCTGAAAGATACCCCTTCTTATCCTTATGTGGTTCTCCGCAGCCATCATCCACTCGCACAGATGACAAAGGATCGTACTCCACTGCCCCATACACTGCTCGAGGAAGTCTCTAACTGTACAGTCTATCTTGTACAGCTCGAGGACTCTCTCTAGCCATGTATGGGGCACCGAGTCGAATGCCTTTCTGTAGTCTATCCAGGCGGCGGAGAAGTTCCGACGGTTGCGTTTCACCACTTTGCCAATGATCGCGTCAATGAGGAGTGGTTCCTTGGTTCCACGATCACCGCCCCCGACATCCATTTTGAGCGCGCGACATCACCTGATTTGAGTCCAGGTGACAAGTGATTCTCGCGCTCAAAATGGATGTTAGTGTCTTGTATATGGTCGGTAGACACGTGATGGGGCGGTATTTGCTCGGGTCTGTGGTACCCTGGTCTTTAGGAACCAAATGAGTGATCCCTGTAGTGAAGAGGCTTGGGAGCGACTTCTGGTTGAGAGCCTCTTGAAACTGTCGGGCGAGCACAGAGTGACACACCATGAACCCCTTCAGCCAGTAGTGATGCAGCCCGTCAAGCCCCGGACTTTTCCAGTTCGGGGCCCTACGGACCGCCTCAGCTACGTCATCCGGCGTTATGATGACGGGGTCCATGGGCGTAATACCCGCACACTGACTCGCCACAACTTCCGTCCAAGGGCCCTCGCTGTGGTTTACGGGCTCTGACCACAGGCCGCGCCAGAATGCTACAGTGTCGGCCTGATTCGGTGCTGGACCCGTTCCACTTACCATTGGTCGCTCCAATGATTCATAGAGCCTCTTCTGATCACTCTGGAAGAGACGATTCTGGTTGAACCGTGTCGACCTGTCGGTATATCGCCGAATCCGTTTTCCCCAAGCAGCGATTCTCTGCTTCAGATCATCTATGCGCTCCGTCAGTTTTTGCGTTATATCCGGCTGGGACAAACTGACATTTGTCCCAGCAAACGCCATCCTGACGGTGCGCACAATTCTTGGCCTGTTGTTGCCTGATCTGAAGCATATCAGTCTGCCGATGAGAGCTCTAGCCTTTGCGATACGTTCCTCAATTCTTCTTCTCCATGCTGGGATAGCGCTACTATGGCCAGTAGCGCGTCCAGCCGTGGAAACCTTGGCGCCTATGATACGGCAGACTGCCAGCGCGGCGCCAAAAAGAATTGAGTCCGTCTCGCAAAGGTCCCGGCTGGCTTCCAAATAGGTCACCAGCATTGGGTTCAGAGCCCTCACGACAGCCCGATTCCGCTTGCTTAGGGCTATGCGGGGAAGTCGCGGTCGATTTTCGAGAGGCGTACTGCGCGTTTCCACAATCGCCTCTTCCAATGTACTCCTCATATGCTCTAATTACAGTTCCTGGGCGACTGTTCCATCATCGTTTGAATCAACCACAACTGGGGTATTCACGGCGGCATCCACGTTTGCTGGTTGCTCTACCATTTGTGGCGCCGCATCCTCAGCCGTAGCATTCTCATCCGACGAGGGAACAGCCTCACGTCGTAGCCGTTCGAGTTCGGCGACATCAAATATATTTGAGCGCAAGATATACCGAACTCGGTCTGCCAGGTTTTGCTCTGTGACGGTTAAAGATGGCTCCAGCTCAGCAAAAAGACGATGCATCCTAGCCCGATACGCCAAACATCCAGTTTCTCCCCCTTTCGCCCTAAAATACGCCCGCAATGCGTTGCTGTTTATCTGGGTTGTCCAACGCATGCGGCGTACTCCACCAGAGGCTGGTGCCGATTGCTGGGCCCGCGAAGACCCTGCCGACACCGAGCCAGCTGGTGGGGATGATGGATACGAGGGGCGGCTGGGTGGTCGTGCAGCACCTCGCGCTCGGCTGGCGGTTCGCATGCTGCCGCGTCCAGCGCCAGCTCCAGACGCGCCCTGGCGACCTCCAGGCAGCGGCCCTTTGCGCGTTCTTCCGTATTCCATCATCCATAGTAGTGGGCGTCATTTAGCGGGAGACGCCCAAACCCGGCGCCGTTTCATGATGAGGCCATGTGCACAAGCGGGCCTTTGCACCTTCAATTTTTGCCGAGGCACGGCACTAACACCTCTTGGCAAGGTGCTGACTGACTGCGCTGACGTAGCGGTTTTGTCACATAACCGTTACGTCAGCGGGCGATGGGGTCGTCACTTCCCTACGCCTTTATTATTAATTATTATGTGTGGGGTATCTATATAGTTTTCTCATCTGGTTGGGATGTATAAATATATAATTATAAATGAAAATGAAAGGATAAATATACATAAATATCAATAAAATAAAATAAATACAAAAATACATAAATAAATAAAAGCCCAACCAGATGGAAGCCCTCGGCAGGGGGAGACCAAACGGCCGAGGGTTAGGGAGAAAGGGAAAGAAACCGGCGGACGATGCGGGCAGTATCAAGGAGCACCGCCTTCTGCATTTGAGCCCGGAGCGGTCCGTCACGGAGTCCCAGTCGCCTCAGATGACCAGAGAGGCTAACTGGGATTAGCCCATTCGCAGAGACGACTACAGGAATAATTTCGGCCGGCAGACCACCCCACATGTCGGTCACCTCGTGAGCCAGGTCCAGATATTTTGATTGCTTATCTGTTTCGGCTCTCACGAGGTTCTCGTCATACGGGATGGTAATATCGACCAAAAATATCCTTGACTGTGCCCGGTCCATCAGCACAATATCAGGCTTATTCGCAAGAATAGTCCTGTCTGTGATGATGGCCCGGTCCCAGTAGAGTCTGGCGCGGTCATTTTCGAGCACGGCTTCCGGCAAGTACTTGTAATACGGCAATTTCCGGTCCACGAGACCGTATTTCAGAGCGAGCTCCTGGTGTAGAATTCTGGCTACTAGGTTGTGCCTGTGCAAGTACTCAGAGTTAGAAAGCGCCGAACAACCGGGGATGACATGCCTAAGTGACTCCCCGGGATGGCGACAAGCTCGACAGACGTCGACGGTGCCATCCTTTAGGATGTATCTCCGATAGTTGTTGGTCTTAATAACCTGATCCTGTATTGCACAGACAAAACCCTCGGTTTCCCCGAAGAGGTCACCGAAACGTAGCCAGTTGAGGGAGGCGACCGTATCTACGAAGGGCTCATGTAGAGCCTTGTAGTACCTCCCGTGGAGCTCCTTCTCCTTCCATACGGTCTCCCGGTCGGAATTGCTAAGCACTGCTGGGTCCTGCCATTGCTCGTTGGCTAAGGATAGAGGGGTAAGCCATTTATCACTAGAAATGACGTCATTATAGAATGGATCATCCGATCTCGCCAAGAAGTACTGACGGAGACTGCACACTTCGCGATTATGCATGGTGAGCGCGCTCAGAAAGCCACGCCCACCATACTTTCGCGGCAAGTACAGCCTCATTACCGACGATCTCGGATGATGCATCCTATGGGACGTCATGGTAGTGCGGACTTTTCTATCCAGGGCGTTAAGCTCAGTCTGAGTCCACCTGAGTATGCCAGAGGTATACATGAGGACAGGCATGACCCAGCCGTTATATGCGTGTGTCTTATTCACACCGGACAAAAGGCTGTTAAGCACTTTGGTCAAGCGTGCACAAAACACGTCGCAAACTGACTGTTTCATACCAGCCTCATCGATACCGATGTTCTGTGACATACCCAGGTATCGGTATGTTTCAGCCTCGGAAAGGGTCCTTAAGTTGACGGGCATAGACAAGTCTATGCCCTCAGAGTTAGCAACCCTTCCCCTTTCAACATGGAGGACCGCACACTTATCCGTCCCAAGCTCCATTCCAATGGAACTGCTAAATTCACATACTTCCATAAATGAAAACACATCCAAGAAAATGTGGGTCACTTTTGTCCCTCCTTTCCTACTATCCCCCCCCCGCGAAAACAACCAGATTGGACACAGACAATCGCCCTGGAAGATACCCCTTCTTATCCTTATGTGGTTCTCCGCAGCCGTCATCCGCTCGCCCAGATGACAAAGGATCGTACTCCACTGCCCCATACACTGCTCGAGGAAGTCTCTAACTGTACAGTCAATCTTGTACAGCTCGAGGACCCTCTTTAGCCATGTATGGGGCACCGAGTCGAACGCCTTTCTGTAGTCTATCCAGGCGGCAGAGAAGTTCCGACGGTTGCGTTTCACCACTTTGCCTATGACCGCGTCAATGAGGAGTGGTTCCTTAGTTCCACGACCACCGCCCCGACATCCATTTTGAGCGCGTGACATCACCTGGTTTAGCTCCAGGTGACGAGTGATTCTCGCGCTCAAAATGGATGTCAGTGTCTTATATATGGTGGGTAGACACGTGATGGGGCGGTATTTGCTCGGGTCTGTGGTATCCTGATCTTTAGGAACCAAGTAAGTGATCCCAGCAGTGAAGAAGCTTGGCAGTGACTTCTGGTCGAGAGCCTCTTGAAACTGTCGGGCGAGCACAGCGTGACACACCACGAACCCCTTCAGCCAGTAATGATGCAGCCCGTCGAGCCCCGGACTTTTCCAGTTCGGGGCCCTACGGACCGCCTCAGCCACGTCTTCTGGCGTTATGGTGATGGGGTCCATAGGCGTAACACTCGCACCCTGGCTCGCCACAACTTCCATCCAAGGGCCCTCACTGTGGTTTACGGGCTCTGACCACAGGCCACGCCAGAATGCGATAATGTCAGCCTGATCCGGTCCTTGGCCCGCTCCACATACCTTTGGTCGCTCCAATAATTTATAGAGCCTCTTCTGATCACTCTGGAAGAGACGATTCTGGTTGAACCGCCTTGACCCCTCGGAAAATCGTCGAATCCGCTTCCCCCAAGCAGCGATCTTTTGCTTCAGGTCGTCTATGCGCTCCGTTAGTTTCTGCGTGATATCCGGCTGGGACAAACTGATATTTGTCCCAGCAAACGCCATCCTAACGGTGCGCATAATCCTCGGTCTATTATTACCCGACCTGAAGCTTGTCAGTCTGCCGATAAGGGCCCTTGCCTTTGCGATACGGTCCTCGATTCTCTTTCTCCAGGCTGGGATTGCGCTACTTTGTGTAGTAGCGCGTCCAGCCATGAGAAGTTTGGCACCAATAATACGGCAAACTGCCACTGCGGCGCCAAAGAGAATCGAGTCCGTCTCGCAAAGGTCCCGGCTGGCTTCCAAATAGGTCACCAGCATTGGGTTAAGAGCCCTCACGACAGCCCGATTTCGCTTGCTTAAGGGTATGCGGGGAAGTCGCGGTCGATTTTCGAGAGGGGTGCTGCGCGTTTCCAAAATCGCCTCTTCCAATATACTCCTCATTTGCTCTAGTTCGTGGGAGACTATTTCATCGTCGTTCGAATCAACCACAACTGGAAGATCCATGGCGGCTTCCACGTGTGGATGCTGGTCTGTCGAATGTGGAGCTGCATCTCCAGCCATAGCCGATTCATTCGACGACGGAATAGCCTCACGTCGTAGTCGTTCGAGTTCGGCATCATCAAATATTTTCGAGCGCATGATGTACCGAACTCGGTCTGCCAGGTTTTGTTCCGTGACGGGGATAGACGGCTCCAGCTCAGCAAAAAAGCAATGCATCCGAGACCTATACGCTATTCCCACAGTTTCTTCCCCTTTCGCCCTATAGTACGCCCGCAATGCGTTTTCGTTCATGGATTTTGTCCAACGCATGCGACGTGCTCCACCAGCGGCGGGTGCCGCTTGCTGGGTCCGAGAAGACCCAGCCGACACCAAGCCTTCTGGTGGGGATGATGGATGCGAGGGGCTGCTAGGTGATCGTGCAGCTCCTCGCACTCGGCTGGCGGCCCGCATGCTGCCGCGTCCAGCGCCAGCTCCAGACGCGCTCCGGCGACCCCCAGGCAGCGGCCCTATGCGCGTTCCTTTTTGTGCCATCATCCATTTTATTTTATTGTTATTATTATTATTATTATTATTATTATTATTATTATTATTATTTTTATTGTTATCACATACATTATCACAAAATTATAATATTATAAATATAAATACAATCTATATAAATAATATTATTATTTCGGTTATTATCCACCGCGGCGAGGAATTCTAAGCCATCGGTGAAGTTAGGCATCCAAAGATAGGAACCTTCTTACTATTCGAGCCGTATTTAATAAGGCCGATTTTTGAATTAATGCCTTCAGCCATTTGCCCAAACCTAACTTGGACAGATAATCGTCCATATTTTTACCAATAAGCCCATTGACTGAAACAACTATTGGTACAATAATAGTAGAATCAACGTCCCACATAGCGACAATCTCATGAGCCAGGTCGATATATTTAATTTTTTTATCATTCTCTGCTTTTACGAGATTCTCGTCATGAGGAACACTGATTCCCACTATTATTGCCTAGCGTGTAGTTTGGTCTATCACCACAATGTCAGGTTTATTTGCCACTATAAACCTGTCTGTGATAATTGACCGATCCCAGTACAGTGTGACACTTCTATTTTCAAGGACTGGCTTTGGTCCATACTTATATTATGGAACGTCCTGTTGAGTAAAGCCAAATTTAATGGCAAGCTGTTGGTGTACCTAGGCTGCACTAAAAGTATCGGGAATGGAATATTTCCACTGTTCCTGTCATATTATAATCTTTTTTATTTGAAAACTCCTTGGTTTTAAAAATCGAATACCATTTATTTATTTAACCAAAGATTCTCAGTCTTGTTACAAGGTTTTGTCAAACTTGTTTAGTCTTTGAGAAAACGGAATTGACTCGAGAAAATTCAAGAGCGATGATTTATTATGACTTTCGAAGTGGTTTAACACAAAAACAGTGTGTTGACCGGATGATTTCTGCATTTGGTAATGAAGCCCCATCTAAAACCACAATTTATCGCTGATTTGCTGAATTTCAACGTGGACGTGTCAAGCTCAGTGATGATCCTCGTCAAGGTCGTCCAAAAACTGCAGTCACCCAAGAAAACGTTGATGCTGTGCGTAAGCTAATTAAGGAAGATCGACATGTGACATACCGTGAAATTCAGGCAACTTTAAACATTAGCATGAGTCAAATACAAATAATCTTTCATGAACAATTAGGTGTAAAAAAGTTGTTTTGTGTTTTCGTATTTATAGAGTCTATCGAACTACTTTGCCACTCACCTGGTAGATTTAGGATAGTGTTCCACTGACCCATTAATTTACTTAAAAACACACAAATTTATATACAAATATACAAATTTTGTCATCTATTTTATATATTTGTAAAACTCTCTTTAGCCATGAATGTGGAACAGAGTGATATGCCTTTTTGTAATCCACCTAAGCAGCGGACATATTTTGCGATTACGATAGACTTGTCGGCAAATAGCAGTGTCAATGAGAAGAAGTTCTTTACAACCACGTGAACCTTTCCGACATCCGTTCTGTGCAGTTGAAAGAATGTTATTATTTTCCAAATGTTTATAGATCCTGTTATTCAAAATTGCAGTTATTAATTTATATACAGTTGAAAGGCATGTTATAGATCGGTAATTGTTCAGTGGTGTTTCCATTTTTATATAGTAAGTGGGTAATACCAGTTGTAAGAAGTCTCGGGAGCTCACAACACTCAATGGCTTCTTGAATCTGTGCAGCCAAACGTACGTTATTATTATTATTATTATTATTATGGGGTATCTATATAGTTTTCTCATCTGGTTGGGTTCTACAAATATATAATTATAAATAAAAATGAAAAGATAAATATACATAAATATCAATAATATAAAATAAATATAAAAGTACATAAATAAGTAAAAGCCCAACCAGATGGAGGCCCTCGGCAGGGGAGACCAAACGGCCGAGTGTTAAGGGGAAAGGGAAAGAAACCGGCGGACGATGCGGGCGGTATCGAGGAGCACCGCCTTCTGCATTTGAACCTGGAGCGGTCCGCCACGTAGTCCCAGCCGCCTCAGATGACCCGAGAGGCTGACTGGGATTAGCCCGTTTGCAGAGACGACTACAGGAATAATTTCGGTCGGCAGACCACCCCACATGTCGGTCACCTCGTGAGCCAGGTCCAGATATTTTGTTTGCTTGTATGTTTCAGCTTTCACGAGGTTCTCGTCATACGGAATGGTAATGTCGACCAAAAATATCCTTGACTGTGCGGTCCATCAGCACAATATCAGGCTTATTCGCAAGAATAGTCCTGTCTGTGATGATGGCCCGGTCCCAATAGAGCCTGGCGCGATCATTTTCGAGCACGGCTTCCGGCAGGTACTTGTAATACGGCAATTTCCGATCCACGAGACCGTATTTCAGAGCGAGCTCCTGGTATAGAATTCTGGCTACTAGGTTGTGCCTGTGCAAGTACTCAGAGTTAGAAAGCGCCGAACAACCGGAGATAACATGCCTAAGTGACTCACCGGGATGGCGACAAGCTCGACAGATGTCGACGATGCCATCCTTTAGGATGTATCTCCGATAGTTGTTGGTCTTAATAACCTGATCCTGTATTGCACAGACAAAACCCTCGGTTTCCCCCGAAGAGATCACCAAAGCGTAGCCAGTGGAGGGAGGCTACTGTGTCTACGAAAGGCTCATGTAGAGCCTTGTAGAACCTCCCGTGGAGCTCCTTCTCCTTCCATACGGTCTCCCGGTCGGAAATGCTCTGCACTGCCGGGTCTTGCCATTGCTCGTTGGCTAAGGATAGAGGGGTAAGTCCTTTATCACAAGAAATGACGTCCTTATAGAATGGATCATCCGATCTCGCCAGGAAGTAATCACGGAGGCTGCACACTTCGCGATTATGCATGGTGAGCGCGCTCAAGAAGCCACGATCACCATGCTTCCGCGGCAAGTACAGCCTCATTACCGACGATCTCGGATGATGCATACTATGGGACGTCATGGTAGTGCGGACTTTTCTATCCAGGGGGTTAAGTTCAGTGTTAGTCCACCTGAGTATGCCAAAGTTATACATGAGGACAGGCATGACCCAACCGTTATATGCGTTTGCCTTATTCACACCGGACAAAAGGCTGTTAAGCACTTTGGTCAAGCGTGCATAAAACACGTCGCAAACTGACTGTTTCATACCAGCCTCATCGATACCGATGTTCTGTGACATACCCAGGTATCGGCATGTTTCAGCCTCGGAAAGGGTTCTTAAGTTGACGGGCATAGATAAGTCTATGCCCTCAGAGTTAGCAACCCTTCCCCTTTCAACATGGAGGACCGCACACTTATCCGTCCCCAGCTCCATTCTAATAGAATTGCTAAATTCACACGTGATGTTTAGCAATTCCATAAGATGGGAGCGACTGGAGGCGAATAATTTGAGGTCATCCATATAGAAAAGGTGGGTCACTTTTGTACCTCCTTTCCGAAGCTGAAATCCCCTCCCGGAGCCCTCCAGTAAAGTACTGAGAGGGTTGAAAGAGAGGCAGAACCAGATTGGACTCAGACAGTCGCCCCGGAATATACCCCTTCTTATCCCTATGCGGCTTTCCGCAGCCGTCATCCGCTCGCCTAGATGACAGAGGATCGACTCCACTGCCCCATACACTGCCCGAGGGAAGTCTCGAACTGTACAGTCAATCTTGTACAGCTCGAGGACCCTCTTTAGCCATGTATGGGGCACCGAGTCAAATGCCTTTCTGTAATCTATCCAGGCGGCGGAGAAGTTCCGACGGTTGCGTTTCACCACTTTGCCAATGACCGCGTTAATGAGGAGTGGTTCTTGGTTCCACTACATCCATTTTGAGCGCGCGACATCACCTGATTTAAGTCCAGGTGACGAGCGATTCTTGCGCTCAAAATGGATGTTAGTGTCTTGTATATGGTCGGTAGACACGTGATGGGGCGGTATTTGCTCGGGTCTGTGGCACCCTGATCTTTAGGAACCAAATGAGTGATCCCAGTAGTGAAGAGGCTCGGGAGCGACTTCTGGTTGAGAGCCTCTTGAAACTGTCGGGCGAGCACAGCATGACACACCATGAACCCCTTCAGCCAGTAGTGATGCAGCCCGTCAAGCCCCGGACTTTTCCAGTTCGGGGCCCTACGGACCGCCTCAGCTACGTCATCCGGCGTTATGATGACGGGGTCCATGGGCGTAATACTCGCACACTGACTCGCCACAACTTCCGTCCAAGGGCCCTCGTTGTGGTTTACGGGCGTCTGACCACAGGCTGCGCCAGAATGCGACCATGTCGGCCTGATTTGGTGCAGGGCCCGTTCCACTTACTATTGGTCGCTCCAATGATTTATAGAGCCTCTTCTGATCACTCTGGAAGAGACGATTCTGATTGAACCGTGTCGACCTCTCGGTATATCGCCAAATCCGCTTTCCCCAAGCAGCTATTCTTTTGCTTCAGGTCGTCTATGCGCTCCGTCAGTTTTTGCATTATATCCGGCTGGGACAAACTAACATTTGTCCCAGCAAACGCCATCCTGACGATGCGCACAATCCTTTGGCCTGGTATTGCCTGACCTGAAGCATATCAGTCTGCTGATGAGGGCCCTAGCCTTTGCGATACGTTCTTCAATTCTTATTCTCCAGGCTGGGATAGCACTCCCTTTGTCCAGTAGCGCGTCCAGCCGTGGAAAGTTTGGCACCTATAATACGGCAGACTGCCAGTGCGGCGCCAAAAAAGAATTGAGTCCGTCTCGCAAAGGTCCCGGCTCTTCCAAATAGGTAACCAGCATTGGGTTCAGAGCTCACGACAGGCCCGATTCCGCTTGCTTAGGGCTAAGCGGGGAAGTCGCGGTCGATTTTCGAGAGTCGTACTGCGCGTTTCCACAATCGCCTCTTCCAATGTACTCCTCATTTGCTCTAGTTCCAGTTCCTGGGCGACTGCTCCATCATCGTTTGAATCAACCACAACTGGCGTATTCACGGCGGCATCCACATTTGCCATTTGCTCGGCAAGTTGTGGCGCCGCA